CAACAGCTTTAGGCGTATCGAGTATAGGGGAAGAGCGCCCATATTGTTTTTCGGCCCCAGGTGGGTGATGTGGTCAGCATTACGCCGGCTGTCTTTACTTCCCCAGGACAGCCATCCTGGTACCCATTCTTTGCTGGGTCAACCTGCGACGCCCCATACCATGGAATAAATCCACGCTGTCAGCAGTGGGTTTCGATCGCTGTTACGAGTCGGACTGGCAACGCCTAAGCCACGGACGCCGCGTTTTGTGGTGAGGGCAAGTTTAATTATCTCGCTTGTGGCAGTACCTTCCTCTGAGCCGCAGTTTACAAGTAAAAGACAATTTGTATCCCATAAAAGATGCGGGCACACGATGCTCCCAAACTACTATTTTATTGTTACTAAATTTATGCCAGGCACAGTTTACTGATATGTTTCTTCTTCTACTTCTTGTCTTAACCGCTGCCTTATTTTTTTAAATTGCCCTTGCTGCACCCGAGGCTTCAGCCCCCCTTCCCTTCCTGGGTGGGGAAGGAAGGAAGGAGGGTTTCCATCACCCCCTCCAACCGCCCTAGCGCCCCTAAGGGGTGGTAAGCCTTCTTCGGGAAAAACTGATCTAGGAATTTCGCGATCGCTGCTCCCACTGCTAAAAGACTGCACATATGAATCGATATAACAGCGACACACACGCGCGCACGCACACACGCACGCAGGCACACACCCACCCACACACACACACACACACACATATATATATATATATATATATATATATATATATATATATATATATATATATATATATTATAATAATATATATATAAATTAAATCTTCATGGGGTGTAAAATTGTTAGATATAACAGTGAATGTTAATGATTAGTAATTATTGCAGCAGGACGTAGAAAACTTATTGAAAATAGCCCAGTTGATCTGGAAATTGCAGTCCGTGTTGTGTAGTATTCAGTTGTGTTTTCACCATAAAAAGATAACTGTTAGTCGTTCCTTTGTGGGATGCAATTGTTTGTTATTTTGAAGCCCCACCCTGACTTTTGCCGGGAGCCCTAAATATAACCAGGCCATTAAAATATGGCCTAACGGCTGAACAGGGTTTTCCGGGACCTCTCCACGGGTAATCCTCATCCATATGGTGACACTTTATGTGACCGGGTGTTTATCGCTCTGTGTGATGTCCTGGTGGGGTAAAAATTCACTTACTTACTGTGAACAAGACCGACTCTGAGATTAACCGTGCCACCTACCGGGAATGAACGGTAGATTCCAGATACGGCAAAGACAACCTGCCAGCAGCGCCCCACGCACCACCTGTGATATCATGGAGTGTAGACGAAGTAGGGCGCTTACACCCCATAAAACACTGGAAAGGGGGGGGGGTAATGGAGCTTAACCCCTTACGGAACTGGAAAAGAAGGTGGGGGGGGGGGCGGTTGAACGGACCTAAACCGTCTTGAATAGTAATTATAATGTGCTGAATGGCAACAACATAATAATAATGTGGTATGAATAAACAATAATTCCACAAGAGAACTGTTTTTGGGGTGGGTGCTGTTTGGGGTAGGGGGACCTCAACCACCCCCCCCCCCCAACTCCCACCCCACAGGTTCCTTCACTACTGATAGGAGCCAATGTTACTGTATTGTATAGAGCGGACACATGCCCCTGTGGACTCACAGATAGCATAAGCAGTCAGGTGCAGGGTGTGTGTGTGTGTGCGGGACAAGTCAGACGTGACATTATGTTAGTTAAGTGGGGCAAGTCTGTTCCCGCGATGCTGTATCAACCCGGCCTCAGTGGACCGGAAGCATAGCCGGTGAATAGTGTTGTTGCCTGCATTTAATGGCCTTTAGAATACTTATGGGCGCCTTGGCAGCCGGTTTTACTCCCCGAGCAGCAGCCAACACCCCACATATCAGCTGTGTATGCATGCCGCCGAGTCAGGGTCGATCCAGTCGTCATCAGGTTGCCCCCCCCCCCCCGTTCTCTGTTTGTATCCACCCTCTCTCGCGTTCACTCTCTCTCTCTCTCTCTCTCTCTCTCTCTCTTACTGCACTTTCTCACACTAACCCTGTCTCTCTCTGTCACTATCCGTGTGACTTTTTCTTTCTCTCTGTCACTGAATATCTCCCTATGTCGCCTCTCTTTCTCACTCCCCTCTCTGTCTCAATCTCAGTCTCCCCCTATCCCCCATTCTCTTCATTGAAGGCCAAGTCTCTCTCACTTTGGTTGTATTATCATTCTGTCACCATTTCTCGCTGTCCCCCCCTCTTTCTCCCCCTCACTCTCCCTGTATCTCTCTTTTTCTCTTACAACACTTCTTTCTCTTTCACCCTCCCTCTCTCTTTAACCATCCATGTCACTCTCCCTCTCTCTGGCCCTCTCTCTCACCTGCCATCCTTCGTTGAAGGCTCAGTCTCTCCCCCTCTCTCACTTTGATTGTATTCTCATTCCGTCCCCCTCTCGATGTCCCTCTCTCCAGTGTATTCCAGAAGAACTCATAGGGTTAGGCAAGGTTTCTGCGACTTGCCCCTGTTGATTCTCAGCCAAGGAGCAGCAATCCTAAAGGCCAACAATCCTGGAGGCCAACAATCCTGGAGGCCAACAATCACTACCTGCATTTCCTTTTTCCATCATGAGAAGCATGTCGTAAAATGTGACTAATTAGGAGTTAAATGAATCGGATCGTTGGGCTGCAAGGCGCAGATAAAGCAGTCTTGCTGTAAACTGTAACACAACGTGTCAACTGTGTCTCTGTTCTCTCTCTCTCTCTCTCTCTCTCTCTCTCTCTCTTTCTTTCTCTCATTAATTTGTTGTCTGTCTGATTCTCCCTCTCCCTTTCTCTCTATTTCTCTCATTGTATTCTTATTACCCCTGTTCTGTCTTGTCTGACTCTCCCTTCCCCTTCTCTCTCTCTCTATTTCTCTCATTGTATTCTTATTCCCCCGTGTGTCTGATTCCTAATATGCCCCCTCTCTCTCTCTCTCTCTCTCTCTCTCTCTCTCTCTCTCTCTCTCTCTCTCTCTCTCTCTCTCTCTCAACGAAAGTGGGCTAGCTGGAAAGAAGGAGCTGTTTAGTAAATAGAAAGTGCCGTATAGAATGTCACTTAATGCTCCCGCCTAGCAGTCCGGGTGGACTTCGTATTGTCTCTGTCAATCAGCGGGTGTATTTGTGTATATGCCTGACTGTGACATCAAGATGCGTGTGTATAATTATAGGCGTGTGTATGTGTGTGTTTATGTATGCATGCGTGTTACAGTTAAAGAGGGACACGTACAGTATCAGTATGTCTTAGTGAAGGTGTGGCTGGGTAAATGATAAATTATCCCACAGATATCTAGTTCTGTTTGCTGAGCTTCTTTCTGCGTGGGTGTATTATCTTTCCCCATCTTTATTTGACTAAAGATACTCTGGTTAACTCAGTTGACGTCTTTTTATCTCTCCTCTCGCTCTTCCCTATCTCTCTCCCTTGCATCTTCTGCCCAGTCACCCGCTTTGTGCTCATGTATGTACCTCAACTGTAAGGTTGAACATCTCTCCCAGCTAGGCTAGTGTGCTGTTCTGTTAATTCTTGTTAATATTACTTGTGATTTTTCTGTTTGTCCTCCTTTTTTAATACCAATTTTTCAAAGTCGATGGTGCATCTTGCCGTATATTCAAATATTCAGAAAGGCACCACCTGAAAAAGTTTGAAAATCACTGATAAAAATGCAAGTGCAATGCAGTTTATTGTACAGACCAGTCAACCTTCAGTGAGTGATATTGTGAACACCTCATCAGCCACCATTACTTGCCAGAGATTTCCTGGTGCCCATTTTGTGTCCAACTGAAAGCTGAGATCGGTTTTAATCCTCACTGCAGATTTTGAACCCCAGACCGCCGGACTGGCAGGCAAAGGTGCTAGCTACTGCAGCTTCAACTTCACACTGTAGACTGGAGCAGTTCCAGCATTAATTTTGTAGTGGATAGTTTAGTGTAGAAAAGCTTTATTCAGACTGTAAGCCAGAGCAGTTCCAGAGATTTAGACTTATTTTGTAGTGGATAGTTTAGTGTAGAAAAGCTTCATTCAGAGCAGTTCAAGGGTTTTAGATTTATTTTGTAGTGGATTGTTTAGTTTAGACAAACTTCACACTGTGTGCTGGAGCAGTTCTAGCATTGTTGACGTATTCTGTAATAGATTGTTTAATGTAGACAAACTTCACACTGTGTGCTGGAGCAGTTCTAGCATTGTTGACGTATTCTGTAATAGATAGTTTAATGTAGACAAACTTCACACTGTGTGCTGGAGCAGTTCTAGCATTGTTGACGTATTCTGTAATGGATAGTTTAGTGTAGACAAACTTCACACTGTGTGCTGGAGCAGTTGCGGTATTGTTGACCTATTCTGTAATGGATTGTTTAATGTAGACAAACTTCACACTGTGTGCTGGAGCAGTTCTAGCATTGTTGACGTATTCTGTAATGGATAGTTTAGTGTAGACAAACTTCACACTGTGTGCTGGAGCAGTTGCGGTATTGTTGACGTATTCTGTAATGGATTGTTTAATGTAGACAAACTTCACACTGTGTGCTGGAGCAGTTCTAGCATTGTTGACATATTCTGTAATGGATTGTTTAATGTAGGCAAAATTCACACTGTGTGTTGGAGCAGTTGCGGTATTGTTGACGTATTCTGTAATGGATTGTTTAATGTAGACAAAATTCACACTGTGTGCTGGAGCAGTTATAGCATTGTTGACCTAGTCTGTAATGGATTGTTTAGTGTGGAAAAAACCTATCTTTACTTCCTGTATTTACCACTTTTAGGCTGGTGCATGACAAGGTTCCCATGAGCCTAAGGATTTAAGGTTGCATGACTAGTCTGTTGCTGACAGAAACAAAAATCTGTATCCCTGACCAAGGACTGAACACAGATCTTTGGCATGAGAGCTTAGAGGTGTATCCTCTCGACAGGCTACTGTTCATTGTTTATAGTGTATAATTGTAATTTCTCCTTGTGTTTTTGCAGTTGGTACTTTGGCATGCTGTCTAGAGACCGGACAAACAACATTCTCATGAACCTGGACTACAGCGGGGTGTTCCTGGTCAGAGAGAGCAAGACAATGCCTGGGGATTTTGTTTTGTGTGTCAAGTAAGTTTGCTTCCTCTTGATTCACCTTGGGAGAATAGCTTTTAGCCAGCCAGTAAGGGTTAAAGTCAGTAGTTAAAGGTTAAAGTTGAGAAGATTGACTTCATTGTACCGGATTTTATCACATATCCCTCGGTCTCTCCCTGTAGAACGGCTGGCCGCCTGCCGAGAGCGCCGCACAGAGCATGAACTCCCTAGCTCTGGCGGCAGTCCCCAGGGATTTGCGTAAAAATTGCATTCATGAAATGAAGCACGCAGCCATGAAACAAACCCATGACCTTCAGAGAGTGAGGTAAACAACTTCGCCACGGAGACCCCCTGTTCAGTAGCTTGCCTGGTTAGGACCTTGATTGATGACAATGACTAATTCTGCAACAGTAACTAGTTTTGCTTCTTGTCTGGACCCTCATTTGGACCACACACAAAAATAGGCGTCTTGTCAAATTCAGGAGTAATCCAGATAAGAAACTCTGTGACATCATTCCTGAAACATTGAACAAATAAGCACAACATGTCAGCAGTCAACCAATATCATCATGTGGCAGGTCTTATGCAGAACATTGCTCTTATCACAGCAACTGGACAGCCACTCAAATGTATGCCTTATTTCCAGCATCATGAACTGCATCCAGTGTCCATGACCTTGCTGATCAACCTATGCCTCTTCCATTAACTATACATGAGTGAGGTCTATTATTTCTGGGTCATGACTTTCCTCATCTCCGAGAAGCTCTGAGAATGTATTCTTTCCATCTGTCCATGATATAATTTGTAATAGTAAGCAGAGCCCCTTGTCTTTCATGCATTTCAGCAGGCACTATGCTGTCAATGCCAAACATAAACACTTATATCCTCTGATGAACGAAAGATTGTGACAGCTGAGATGAAATGCCTTAGAAGAGTTGCAGGAGTTACAAGGAAAGACAGAATACAAAATCATGAAATCAGACGAATGCTAGGAATAAAGCCAGTCTTACAGGTCATTAAAGAACAACAATTGAAGTGGTTTGGACACCTAACAAGAATGCCCTCGTACTATCTGTCACAGCGAGCCACACTAAAACGTTACAACGGGTATAGAGCGAGTGGAAGACCTCGGAAAATATGCCTTGCAGAAATGAACATCAGTCTTAATAGTACTCTCGACAGAGCTCATCAACAAATGTTACATCTCCCCCAGACACTTCGATGAGGTACAAGGTGGAAGAGAAGAAGAAGAAGTGGGCACTCTTTTCTCTTCTTCATGATCTTGAGGGTCTTGAACAGTTTTTGATTGTCTCTTGCATTCTTTTCCAACTTTTCTCCAAATTCTTCCTATGATTTCTATTTTGCATTAAGAATTATATTTTTTGGCCTCTGTGTGACTAAGAATTCTGCTGACCTTTATTACTTCAGTTTTAAAAGAATTTATTTTCATATTATATCTTTTGCATATTGAACTTAGTCTGCTGAATTGGTCTTGCATTTTTAAAAATTAGTTGAGTATAAATATGAAAAAGTTATGAAAATCTGCTATATAAAAAGAGGTACCAGGCAATTGGCAGAATTCTTTGGGAAGGGAAGGCATGAGCAAGGGAACAGGTCACTCAACATCATTATTCCATGGGCATGAAGATTTGCTGGTTCTGCACCAATGGGTGGGGAAAGGCTAGATGTGGTCAAGATGGGAGCAAGTGAATAATGCAGAGGCACAAATGGATGATCATGGTCTGGAGAGAATGGTACAGCTGTTAGTCATCAGGGGATTTGGTCGACATTATACACTCCGAGGAAAGGCAAGGTCTTCATATAATCAAACTGCTACTGGAATTAGAACTCTTTGCTAGCTGCTGAAGATGGATCATTTATGGGAATGTCCATGGTACTATTATGTCAGTACTTAGCTGAACACTCAACACTCTATGAAGCCATAACACTTGACAGCCCCAAGACAGTATCTATCCTGGGACTACTCTCACCTGATTGACGTACTGATGTGTGTTGTTATCCATTTGGTGACTGGAGCAGTAGTAGGAATACTTTATTCCTACATTTTAAAATATTTAAATTCAGGAGTATCGGTTTCATTTGCAAAGTATTTTGTCCTTTATGGCTCAGTTTCCTTCAGCAGAGTGGCTAACTGTTTGCTAAGAGTGTCACACAAAGCACAGCCCCGTAGCTTTAGCAGTGTTTCCCAGGGATCCTCATAGAAATTGCACTCATGATCCAGACAGTCCAGGAAACCTTATTCATTCCATGCCCCCAGTAGTATGAACTTATTTTCCTCCTCCTCCTTTCTTTTCCTTCTCCTCTATTCTTCTTCTCCTCCTCCTCTCTTTCTTTCTTCTCCTTCTCTTCCTCTCCTTCTTCTAAACAGGACATTTAGTCCATTGTATTACGGTTTACAGCTATGCTGTGATATCTGTGTGCCCTCAGCCCAACACATATAATTTCAACAAATATTAGTTAATCGCCTTTAACAACATGTTTTAAATTAAAGGACACGATGTGTCCCCCCCCCCCCCCCCCCCCCCCCACCCCTCTTCCAAAATGGGACCATGGAACCCACAGATGGAAGCCATTGAATTTATCAACTTTGTTTGCAGCTGTTGAGATTTAATATTTATTTGTGATTTTTTTTTTTTTTTTAATCCAGGGAGGATCAGAAGGTTAGCCATTACATAATCAACAGAATACAGACCTCGAACGGAACATTAAGGTTTAAGATTGGAGACAAAGAGTTTCCCGACATGCCAAGTTTATTGAACTTCTACAAAACCCATTACCTGGACACAACCACATTAATTAAACCAGTAAGTATGCCAGTGAAAGGTGAAATTGTACCGGAGTGAAAGGTGGATTTAGTATGTGACATCCGTCTTTTGTATGTCAGTGAAAGGTGGATTTAGTATGTGACATCTGTCTTATGTATGTCAGTGAATGGTGGATTTAGTATGTGACATCCGTCTTATGTATGTCAGTGAAAGGTGGATTTAGTATGTGACATCCGTCTTATGTATGTCAGTGAAAGGTGGATTAATATGTGACATCCGTCTTATGTATGTCAGTAAAAGGTGGTTGTAGTATGTGACATCCATCTTATGTATGTCAGTAGAAGTTGATTTAGTATGTGACATCCGTCTTATGTATGTCAGTGAAAGGTGGATTTAGTATGTGACATCCGTCTTATGTATGTCAGTGAAAGGTGGATTAATATGTGACATCCTTCTTATTTATGTCAGTGAAAGGTGGATTTAGTATGTGCTGTCCATCTGTTATTGTTATTTCACTTGTTACATGCCAGTGACAGTTGGAGAACCCCTAAAGATATGGAATAACAGTTGATAGTGTTTGAAAACAAATTTGATAAAATTCAAGAGGAATGAAGAAATAATGAGTGTCTGGGAAACCACTGGTCACTATCTTTATAAGTCAAAGAAGGTAGTTATATATTGTTTACATTCTGAGAAGAAGCAACCAGGGAATTACCAAACAGGCCCTGAAATGGGAAATAAAGGGATTGAGGATGTCCAGAAGAAACCTTAAAACGAACGTTGATGTGGGAGGCCAAAGATGCTGGTCTTCAATATCCAGTGATTGCACAGGATAGAACAGAAGGGAGGAATAGACTACGGGCCCTGTGTGACACATGGCAGCCGCTGTGGTGTAGCAGTTAGATGCATGCCTGCAGATCAGGAGGTCGTGGGTTCGAGCCATGACAGAGCCTGACTTTTGTTTGCTCCCAGATCGACCCAGCCTTGAGTGGGTTAGTCTATAAAATATAGGTCTAGCCTTATATGCCTGCAGGTGGGAAAAGGGTTATTCATTTTTTTAAAAGGTCCTATGTGACATGTGATGTGTGACATGTGACATGTGATGGTACAACTGGACAGTGACGATGATGGTGACCCATTTTTTTAAGTCAGTGAAAGGTGATACAGTGTGTGAGATCCATCTTATGTATGTCAGTGTAATATGTCCACAGTTAGTTAGTTAGTTAGTTAGTTAGTTAGTTAGTTAGTTAGTTAGTTAGTTAGTTGGGTTATCGTCATTGCACTCCGGACATGTCCATAGGTGCTAAGATCCTCCCCTCAGTATGAACCCCAGCGTCCGATGGCTAATAGTACCAGTTCTATGTTGATTAACAAGTCTTCTGACGTGTCCGGTGTGCGTCTCGTTTTTCGCTGTGCCGATCTTAATTCCCAAGTCTGCCATTCTGGCGAGTGATGTGGATTCACTGCCACCAAAGTCCTCTATCCTTCCCATTTCTCTGAGGGCATTGATAATATCAGCATGATCCATAGGCCGACCGTCGGTAGTGATAGCGGATCCAGCCAACCTGTCAGCTCTTTCATTTCCATCGACGCCTGCGTGTCCCGGAACAAAAATAAAGGTGACTCCACGCACAGTGGACTTCTGTAATGATTCAAGCCATTGTCTTCGCACTGAACCTGCCTGAACCCTCCGGATCATACTCATTGAATCACTGAGTATACATATGCGGGTGTATTTTTGTGTTTCAAGCCAGGCAAACGCTTGCGTCACTGCCATCACCTCCATCGTCATGCTGCTGGTTGTCATGGAGAAGGCACCGTTGGCTTCTTTGACTGTTCTGCCCGCTGAGCGTGCTGTAAATGCCCATGCGCTTCTTCTTTGGCGTATAACGGATCCGTCTGTATAGATTATTGCATCTGCTTCGTCTGAATTTTCACCGATGAGAGCGTTGACCTCTGCATTAACAGCAACAGGATTCTCTTCTCTACATCGCCTGTTGAGTGTGACAATACAGGAAAATGTCCACAGTGTTATACTCTAACACATGATACCTATTTTAAATATGTAAGTGAAAGGTGATGCAAACTCTGGTAGAATGTTTGGCGTGTTTGCTCACTTTTTTTTTTTAATTGTTCAAATAACTTAAGTCCATCTTATGTATATCAGTGGAAGGCATGCAGCTGTTTTGGTTCATTAGAAACATAGTCTTCAATTGAAATGGCTGTATGGTGCGTGGTTGACTGGAATATTGAAACCCACCTTATATGTGTCAGTGGATGGCATTCTGGTACATGGATATTAGATCTTGTATGTGCCAGGAGATGGTTATCTGTAAGCCATCTTATATTGTGGGTTTCTGTGGCGAAGTTGTCTAGCTGGTTGCCTCATGCTCTAAAGGTCATGGGTTCATTTCATGGCTGCCACCGTTTGGTTCACAAGTATAATTTTTTAATGGAGATTCCTGGGGATCATCACTGGAGCTATGGAGTTTGTATGATGCTCTCTCTGGAGAGAGACTGAGCCATATGGGATGAAACTTGGTGCAATGAGGACTATCCACTCAACTTTAACCTTTAACCTTTATCTTATATACATCATGATGAAATAGTGAAGTTGTAACAATTAAAGCAGCGAGAAACAATTATTGCTGTACTAAGATTTCTAGGATTGTACTGGTTGTCTTTGCATAACATTCCAGTCTATCTGCAGAATTGTAATCTTGATAATTTTACTTAATTTAAAGCCGCAGAGAAATATTTGACTTGTAATTCCAGAACTTAGATGCAGCTGTTTTAGATATTTCTTTGTTGTTCTCATCTTCAGGCTCCTAGAGTGAAGCTGTTGTGTAAATTTGATTTCTCAGGGAAAGTGAGTATTCCAAATCTACATTCAATGTTTGTTCTCTTAGTTGTGGACTATGAGGAACACAACCCAACAGAAATACTCAATGATGAAAGAGGACAGTCTATCCTGAGTCCTTAAATAATTCTAGAGCTCACCGTGTCTGTTCTGGGGCCCTATTTTAGGGAAAACAAAAAAAGACCCACTGCCTATCCAAAAGAAGGACGTAAGAGTCGACTAATTGGGAACTTCCTTCGAAGTGGGAGTGCATCTGCCTGAGAGGCAAGGAACAAGCTGTCTGCACACAAATGAGTCAGATCTGTAAAACAGATGCACACACAACACTCAGGTTCTGGAACAGGACGGCAGTCCAGAAGTGGATAAACAGCCAGAACTTTCCACCAGAGTTTACAGCTGGTGACTGCAAAGAAGAAGAAGAAGAAGAAGAAGAAGAAGAAAATTCTAGAGCAATGGTTGGAGTATTTAAAAAAACTACTTAGTCTTAAGAAGAAAGGCGAAACTTTGGTTCATTTGATCACAAACACAAGAAGAAGTAGACAAAATAGAACCAACCATTTTATTATCAACAGTAAAAATCATGATAAATATTGCACAGAAATACAAAGTGATGGGAGATGATGATCTACCTGCAGAAGCCATCAACACATTGGAGAAATAAGAGTCAAATGGCCCATATATGTTTTCCAGGTAGCCTGATTGGAAAGATTTCACAGATTAAAGAGTAGAATCACTGCGAAGCCACGCAGAGAAAATGTCTGCCAAATTAATCAAAAAGAAGATTAAGATCATTATTGGAAGAACAGCTCTCAGAAACCCTGCTGGGATTTAGAAGAAATAGAAGCCTGACAGATGTGATATTAATATTAAGACAACTGATTGAAAGTAGACTGGGATAAGACCTACAAAGTCGCATCTGTATACCAGGGTAAAGCTTATGATAGAGTGGCTAGGGATATGCTTTTTGGTTTTCTAAACAGATATGTAATTAGCAACCATCTGATCGAATAAATTCATACTCATCACATCTCCACACTGTGCAGTTGTGGCCAGTTCCAAGCTGTTATATATATTTAGTGGCCACTGCCCAAAGACTTCATTTCATCACAAATCTGCGAGAGCCTGAAAAAAGGCTTTCCTGGGCCGGCAGGGTTGAGGAAATGAAGATCATCTTGTACAATGCATTGGAAAGAGCACACAGAAAATAATCTCCCCATCTCCAACTTTGATGGAGTTACTAGAGAAAGTGGAAAAATTAGGAGAATAAGTTATGGACGCATAGGTAGGAGAGTTTCTATCTCTGGCTCTAACAGACCTGGTTCATCACACTATGTTGACTGTTTTGTCTTCTTCTAATTACTCATCTTTTTCTTCTTCTTTTCCTCTTCATCCTCTTCCCCCTCCTTCTACTTCTTTTTCACTTCCTCTTTTACTGCTTTCAGTGTCAAAAGAAAATACAGTCTTACAGGTCATCAAAGAACAACAAATTAAGTGGTTTGGATGCCTAACAAGAATGCTGTGGTACTATCTGCCACAGCAAGCCACATTGAAACTTTACAACCGGTATAGAGCAAACAGAAGACCTCGGAAAATATGGAATGATGGCATTAAGAACAGCCTCACAGAAATGAACATCAATCTTAATAGTGCTTTTGACAGAGCTCATCAACGAACATTACATCTCCCCCCGAAACTTTGCTGAGGTACAAGGTGGAAGAGAAGAAGAAGAAGTGTCAAGGGAGATACAAGTTCTAGTTCTTACTCTTCAGGATGCCTTGATAATGTTGTATAATAGTTTCTCTCATGTTATCTGTCCATATTATTTTTGGTCTACTTCAAATTTTGTGTCTCTGACACAGTATGGAAACACAAAGCATTCTGTGTAAGCAGGCAAAGCATTCTACTTTCTATCTTGGTATTTATATCAGTACTGGTTCTGTGCTGACTTGTGTTGTTGTCTGATTGACTGTTTTAATTTTTTTCAAAATAAAAAAAAAAATACCACTTATGATTATACTTGAAAAAATCTATTGTTCTATATTTTATTAAAACTTATTTATAATTAAACTTTTTATGCACAGATTTTAATTATACTCTGTAGAATCTTTTATTTTGAAGTATGGTTTTTGTAACATACTTTTACAAAAACCTGTTTGTCTAGGATCCTGAAGATCTCCCATTTAAAAAAGGTGATATACTAGAGGTGATTGCAGAAGATGAGGAGGAGTGGTGGACAGCAAGAAATTCAAATGGCCAGGTTGGACTTATTCCGGTCAGATACACACAAGTGGTCAGTAGATTCTTTTCTTTGTTTGGTCCATGGTTCTTGTGCTGTTTTGTTTGAATATCTGTTATGTGGTCAGTTTTTTGCCCCTTGGTCAGTATTTTGCTTTGAACATTTCTTGTGTAGTTAGTCTATGGTCACTTGTCTTTGTACGTTTTTATTTGAACCATTGCCGTGTAGTTTATTTAATTGCTTGTCTGTATTTTGCTGTAAACATCCATCATTTATTTTGTAATAGATCTCCTAATCTTTGTTTTGCCAATTTTTTGAAACATCCATAAAATTTGCTTTTGTGTCATTGTTTATTTTGTGTTTTTAACATCTAACACACAGTTTCCTCATTTGTTCTTATCTTGCCATTTTTTGTTGAACATCCATCTTGAACATGTTTCTGAGTGTGTTGAGTTTGTGCTGTTTTATTTAAACAGCTGTCTGTTAAAAAAAATTTATTTCAATGTCCTAATGTTTGGTATGTCATCCTTTTTGAATGTCTAAAATTCTGTTCATTTAATTACCACTTTTGTCATGGCATTAAAAAACCCACAGAAAAAAAAATCGCTTAATAATATTGGCAAGGAGAGGAGTGGGTCAGTGTGTCTGAGCAACAGTCAGACTAGTGTAGGGTTCTAATCTCATTGGGCCATGCATGCAGAGACTGGCCATTGGGCATGGCAGAATCAGCTCAACAACTGATTCATGACATTTCCCGCCCAGGTCATGTGTTTATCTATACAGATGGCTCTGTGTTAGAAAGCAAACAAAGTGCTTGAGGGTTCATAGAAAAGCCGAATGCATGTCGCTTAGTGCAACAAAACCTGGCAAATGATACAACACCTGGTTTGAGAATGGAGGTAGAGGTGGTCACTGCAGCTAAATGCTGGCTTGAGAACCAGCTGTACACATATTTAGTAATTGTAACGGATTCACAGAGCATGTTGAGGAAGGTGGAGGCAGGCATGCTGCTTGCAGAGTGGCAGCGATCGCATCAGAGATATTTAGCCTCCTTTGGATATTTCCTCATGGAGATGCCAGTGTGTTGGGAAATAAACAGGCAGAGCACTGTGGATATTTCCTCATGGAGATGCCAGTGTGTTGGGAAATAAACAGGCAGAGCACTGGCTGGTTCTCCGCCACTTGGTGGTGAATTGATGCATGATAGCTAGATTTTGTGAGGGTTCTTTGGGAGCAAGTGAAGAGTGTGGAGGTATAAATAGATAATCACGGTCAGGTGATCTGGCCAACTCTGAACACTCAGAGAACAGGTGAGATGGATATACAATCAGTCTGTTACTCTGTCTTAGCTGCTGAAGATGGGGATGGATCGCTTATGGGAATGTCCTGAGTGCCGTGATGTCCATTCTTAATTGAGCATTCTACTGAAGATTAGAACCAGCATGTGTTTCATGAAATTGACTCAGTTGTTTACTGATTTGTTCAGATTGAAAATCCTGTGTCTATGAACCGGAGTCCAGGCAGAGCCCCAGACTATCAGCAGCCACAGATCCAGCAGCTGCCGACCCAACAAGTGCAGATACCTCCTTCATTTTTTGACGTAAGCTTGCCAGATTGTTGTTCACATTATTTTATACATATTTTAACTACCACCTTTACTACAACTATTTCTTTCTTCTGCCCTTTATCCCCCCCCCTCCCCCCCCCCCAGTTTTGGTTTAGGTGGAGCAAACAACTCACCTCAAGTCACCCTATCATATGCAGCTTATCTCAAGTCACCCTATCATATGCAGCTCACCTCAAGTCACCCTATCATATGCAGCTCACCTCAAGTCACCCTATCATATGCAGCTCACCTCAAGTCACCCTATCATATGCAGCTCACCTCAAGTCACCCTATCATATGCAGCTCACCTCAAGTCACCCTATCATATGCAGCTCACCTCAAGTCACCCTATCATATGCAGCTCACCTCATGTACTTTGCAGCTTTTTAACTACACTCTGTAATTCGCTTCTCCATGTTTGTTTTCATCTGCTTTTATTTCTATGCCCCTGTGGATTTCAGTATAAAGGCATTCTAGTTATATTGTTCTCAGTTTTTCGGCATATATCCTATCAGATGTCAACATCTTTTCTTCAGCTCTTGATTCTCAATTTACTCAAGTGTGTTTGATTCTCTCCCAAGAACTGCACATGAATGATTCTGTCCTACCACTTCACTCCCTTTACTTTGCACAGGCACTAGTTAATTCAATGTTTGTAGGCTCTCCTTTCACCTTTGGACGGTAGCTGGACGCCTTAGGTCGGCTTAGTGGGAGTTCTCTCCCTTGGCCGCATTGCAAACAAGGAGCGGAAAAGTCACGAATCAAAGAAGACAGTGAGGTCGACATCAGGGCTGCCAATGCTTGGTTGTGTCCCCTAGATCTGGGTTATTTTTTGACGCTGCGGGGAAATCTGTTTTTTTTTTGGTTTTGGTTATTGCCGATTTGTATGCTTTAATGACCGATAAATGTGCGTGGTTAGGATTAGGGTTAGGGGTAGGGTTAGGAGTAGGGTTAGGGTTCGGGTTAGGGTTAGGGGTTGGGGTAGGGGTAGAGGTAGGGGTAGGGGGAAGGTTATGTGTCCCCTAGATCTGGGTTATTTTTTGACGCTGCGGGGAAATCTGGGTTTTTTTTGGTTTTGGTTATTGCCGATTTGTATGCTTTAATGACCGATAAATGTGCGTGGTTAGGATTAGGGTTAGGGGTAGGGTTAGGAGTAGGGTTAGGAGTAGGGTTAGGGTTCGGGTTAGGGTTAGGGGTTGGGGTAGGGTTAGGGGTAGAGGTAGGGGTAGGGGGAAGGTTAGTGGTAGGGTTAGGTTTAGCGTTAGATGTGACACTCTTGACGCCGGAGTTCCCTATAATCGCCCAAACAGTCGACGGACTGTGGATGCTACTGACACGGACAATTCGCCACCGATTGGGCACCAGCCGGGCGCTATTGCTGTCATATTTGGTAGAATTCCAGTGGCGCCACTCCCACAAGCATCAGATTGTCGGCCAGTATTTGGAACTTCTACGTCAAAGTTGTCACATTTAACCCTACCCCTAACGCTACCCCTAACCCCTAACCCTAACCCTAACCCTATCACTAACCCAAACCCTACGCAACCCTACACGCAACCGTATGATGATAGACACCCTATGCAACCCAACACGCAACCGTATGATGACTACGCAACCCGTCACGCAACCGTATGATGCCTACGCAACCCTACACGCAACCGTATGATGATAGATAAGTATGTCATTTGATTCGTGACTTTTCCACTCCTTGTTTGCAATGCGGCCAAGGGAGAGAACTCCCACTAAGCCAACCTAAGGCTTCCAGCGACCGTCCAAAGGTGAAAGGAGAGCCTGTTTGTACTTTATTTGTTACTGTTTTAGGTTGTTTTCCATGTTGTCTCTGCATACGCCAATACTGATTTGACATTAGAATTAAATATTGTACATTTATTGTTAGTTTTAATTTTCTTTGACTTCCACAAATGTTCTAGTTACTTGAAAACTGCTCTTGCCTTGCCTTGTGTATTTGTATTTTAATATCTCAGTTTCGTCATCATTATCTACAGTACTGCCTACATAGGTGTATGACTATTTTAGACTGTTCCTTGGCAGGTTGGTTTTTGTGAAAATTTTTTTTTTTTTTCACATGATGAAGTAGCCAACCCCCAAGCCTACCGTCATTCGCCTCTTTCTGGACTATTCTGCTGTAGGGCCCCAGTAACCCATGGCCATAACTACAGCTAATATTGGGATCATCTGTGTGTCCCAGATTTGTCTTCAGGGTGCTGAAATAGAGATGCAATCAGAATTGAAGATATTGGGAGAATATTATGAGTGAAACCAGTCATAGAATCCATTCAAGACCAGCAGCCAGAAATTGTTTGGCTGTTTGACTGAAATGCCCCCCCCTCCTTTTCAATCATGAAGAATCGCAGTATAAAGTTCCTACTTCTTCCTCAATCTGCCTGTTAGAAACCTTATATGAGTAGGCCAGTAGCCTTTATGAAAGCTATTGTGCAGCCCATATCTGCCTATGTGTCACACAGTTTTTGTTTTGGTTGAGGTTGGAGCAGGCCAGATGGCCTCTCTGTTTGCAGGAATACAAAGTGTCGGTGTGCAGGCTGAGCATTTGTAGGTGCCAAGTTGCAGGGTCACATCTTGAAAAGCTTGAACATCTGTTGCAGGGTCACATCTTGAAAAGCTTAAACATCTGTTGCAGGGTCACATCTTGAAAAGCTTGAACATCTGTTGCAGGGTCACATCTTGAAAAGCTTGAACATCTGTTGGCAAAGTCTGTTGTGCCTTGTCCTTAGTCTGAATATAATACTTCTCTTGAAGGGCATCTTTTGGTTTGCAGCTGTGCAGCAATATTTGTGCTCCTCTGCCCAACACATTTGATTGTGGCAAACCCTTCAGTAGATTCCTTTTATAATATGTCTGTCTTTCATTCCACTGCCAGCCACCTGTTTCTTGGTCCATGATATTTTAACTGATTCTGTCCCAGTTGTTACTTCAGTTCCTTTTGTCCATTGTGCTATTATTTCAACCTTTTCGGATTCTTTACATTATTCCTTTGAGTAACAACTGCAGAGAAAGTTATGAGTTGCAGAAAAATAGTTCTGCGACTGAAAGAGTTAAAGTTCAGAGATACGTCCTGATTAGTTTTTTTTGGGCATGCAAAATGGTCATTAGTCAGCATCTGGGGCTTAGGTGTTGCCAGTGCGCTCCATAATGCTGGGGTGCAGAGTTCGATTCCAGCTTCAGGCATTTAGGTAGCAGACCGTCTTGCATTGATTTCGACAGTGGGATAGGGAGCCGACCTTCAGTAAGCAATGGCAAACTACTGAATGTAAATTTGCTTAGAAAAACTTCTTCAGCCAAAAATTGCTGGAGTTGGTTCTGCAACGTCCTGTAAAGGACATACAACAATATAAACACCCCCTGTGTTGGTTCCGGGGCCCCATTGTGGGGAAAACAAGAATAGACTCACTGCCTCCCCAAAAGCATGTCGTAAGAGTCGACTAATTGGGGAGCTTCCTTTGAAGTCGGAGTGCATCTACCGGAGAGGCAAGGAACCAACAGTCTGTATTCAAGAGAAAGATCTGTAAAACTGATGCACACGCAACACTGAGGTTCTGGAGCAGGACTGCAGTTCAGTAGTGGACGAGCAACCAGAACTTTCCACCAGAGTGTACAGATGGTGAACGCAAAGAAGAAAAGAAGAATATAAACACATTTGTTTGCTAACTACGATCAAATAATAAACAACATAAACATCACTGGTGGTTTAAAGGTGTTCATAATTGCATAAGCTACATTTGTGTCCCCAGGTTCAGCTGCCTGCAAAGGCTATGGTCATTTTACAAAGAATCCCTAGTGCTTATGATAAAAGGCAACTACGTTTGGAGGTGAGTTGAATATATTTCCCCTCAGATGACATTATTTATTGGGGCTGCCAGATGAACTCAGCCAGAAGTGGCCATCAGAAGTCAAGATAGTTGCCCCTTGGTACTGAACCACCTTGCCCGTAGAGTGATGATTGCTCTCTCCAAATATTTGGCTAGCAAAATATGCCCAGTGTGTTCCTGGCAAGAAAAGGAAGCAATTACTGACATTTATAAACTTTCATGAATCTATTGGATGGGAATGCTGGACAATGAGTAATGAGGTGGTGAAGAAATGATGGCAATGCTGGACAATGAGTAATGAGGTGGTGAAGAAATGATGGCAATGCTAGACAATGAGTAATGAGGTGGTGAAGAAATGATGGGAATGCTGGACAATGAGTAATGAGGTGGTGAAGAAATGATGGCAATGCTGGACAATGAGTAATGAGGTGGTGAAGAAATGATGGCAATGCTGGACAATGAGTAATGACGTGAAGAAATGATGGCAATGCTGGACAATGAGTAATGACGTTGTGAAGAAATGATGGCAATGCCGGACAATGAGTAATGACGTTGTGAAGAAATGATGGCAATTATAGACAGAGAAGAATTAAAATTCTGGCCTATGGATCGTGGGTTCAACCCCTGACAGAATCTAGCTTTTTTAAAAAATGACCTTGACTTCCAGGTGAACCCAGCCTTGAATGGGCACCATGTGCAGTCCTGGGAGGTAAAGGCGGCCACATCACTCACCATGTGCAGTCCTGGGAGGTAAAGGGGGCCACATCACTCACTATGTGCAGTCCTGGGAAGTAAAGGCGGCCACATCACTCACCATGTGCAGTCCTGGGAAGTAAAGGCGGCCACATCACTCACCATGTGCAGTCCTGGGAAGTAAAGACGGCCACATCACTCACCATGTGCAGTCCTGGAAAGTAAAGGCGGCCACATCACTCACCATGTGCAGTCCTGGGAAGTAAAGGCGGCCACATCACTCACCATGTGCAGTCCTAGAAAGTAAAGACGGACACATCACTCACCATGTGCACCATGTGCAGTCCTGGGAAGTGAAGGCGGCCACATCACTCACCATGTGCAGTCCTGGGAAGTAAAGGCGGCCACATCACTCACCATGTGCAGTCCTGGGAAGTAAAGACGGCCACATCACTCACCATGTGCAGTCCTGGGAAGTAAAGACGGCCACATCACTCTGTCCATAATAAAATAGTCATCTTGTGCTGGGGCTGGTGGTTTCCTGATTGATTTAATGATTTTTTTTTCTTTTGGTGGTATGTGACTGGTACATCCGGCTTCACTTTTGTTGCACCTTTCCCTGCCAGTTGATCAGCTTTCTCATTTCCAGGCACTCCGCAATGTGACGGTATTCACTGCATTACGACTCTTTGCTGAAAGCTAAGTTGTGTCAGCAGTGTTTGCAATTCTGGTAGTTTCCTAGACTGGTGTTGGCTTGATATCACAGCTTAGCTGTAAATCACGACATGCCAGCCACGCAGAATAAGAAGAAAAGAAGAAACAGCTTAAAAAAAAAAGTTTCATTTAAAGTAAAGTGTCTGAAATGTCTGATCACCTGGTCTGTTGTGTCTAATATAATCAAGACAGCTCTTCCGTGTCATCTGCAGGTGGGTGAGATCATCACAGTGCTGAAGATGTCACTAAATGGACAGTGGGAAGGCAGAGATATGCGGGACAGGGAAGGCATCTTTCCCTTTACACACATTCGCTTCCTCACCCAAGAAGAATTACGAAACTTGCCACCTTAACTTCTACATTGACAACATCATGTGCCTTTTGTTATCTTGTTATGACAGCAGTGTATTACTGCTTTGGTTTGATTGAAGAAGTATGGTTTTGGCTCTCTGTGTGTATGTGGGGGAGGAGGGGGGGGCAATTGGTTGTCTTGTAATGATACCAGTATGTTACCCATTTTGGTATGACAGGCAGATATGTGGTTTTATGTGTATGTATGCGTTTGTGCGTGAATGTATTACCATTGCTTTGAATTCTCCTCTGTTGTAATTGAAAAAGTGTGGTTTTTGCCCTGGGTGTGCATGTAGGCATAAATTGATGTATGCATTTTTTTAACTATCATCTCATCATATTTTCCCTCTCTTCATTGTAACTAAAAAAAAAAAAGCTTTTTTAGTCGCTGTGTACGTCTTTAAGCACACATCCATTTTTGTTTAGTATTATCTTGTTATCATAACACTGTTCGCAAAAAAAACAAAAAAAAAGATATTTTGGGCTTTGTGCATGTATGTGCGCAAACACGTGCATGCTCACTTATGTGCTCATGCATGTGTATGAATGAGTTGCTGTTATCTTTCAACCCTACCAGACCTGAGGCCCTGAACCTAACTGCCTCCTATACCTGAGCTCCTGGGCATTAACGCGAAAAACCAACATGATACACACAAATATTAGTTACAAGCAAACGAGTGGCTAGAATAATATGAAACTTGGAGACTTTGTAGAAAATAAGTTTACCTTTTATCTAGCGCCAAAATTCCACTCAGGAGGATCAGCCTTGTTTCACAAAGTGAACACCATATGTTGCATATAGAAATCTATTTCTAGCTTTATAATTTTCAAGATTCTTCTCATTATTCGAGCTCTCACTGAATGTGTCAACGTGAACGTATTCTTCATAAAATTATGACCCCGCAGAGTCCTAATAAACCAAAGTATCGATCCCCTGTTGGACTGTGAAAAGCCCAGACCTACCACACTTTCCTGTTGAAGTGCTTGGTTCATCAGCCACTTGTTTCATTGTGAATTTTCCAATTTTTTCACTTAAACAACACAAATTTAATCCAAACACGTGCGGGTGGACATCTAGGAAGACTATCCACGAGGCCTGATTACAATTGGCTAGTTGTTTTTAGTCTATGACGCATATTTTTCACGTACTACGCAAATTGGGGTCAAAAATCGGGTCAGCGGTCTTGTAGGGTTAATGTCAGCAGTGCTTTCCCTCTTTGGTTAAAAAAAAATTTTTTTTTTTTGTAAAGTGGATTTGGCTCTTATTGAGTATGTTGTTATCTAAGTTGAGTTGAGTAAAGAATTGAAATCACAGCACTCAGGGCATTCCCATGCTTGTTCCATCCTCATCTTCAGCAGCCAGTGCAGAGTTCCAGTACTGATGGTACCGGTCACAATCTTGTTATATGTCAATCCTGCCTTTCCTCTGAGTGTAGTGAGCCGGCCAGACCCTCTGGTTACACCCAGGTGACTCATTCTCTCCTAGCCATAATAATCTTGTTTCTCTACTGATTCCATTACTTGTTCCCAAAGGGCCTTGACCACATTTGCCTTTTTGTGTATACATTCACCACCCATTGGGTCAGATTCAGCCAATCTGTCTGCCTGTTCATTACCCACTACACCGGTATAGCCTGGAGAAAAGATCCAAAGTATGCTCATTACCCATGAGCTTCCCAGTGAAGCTTGCCACTCTGCTCAAAGTATCCCTGTCTTCACCTTTCTCAGCATGCTTTCGGAGTCTGTTACAATCATGACATGTGTATACATCTTGTTCTCTAGCCACTGGAGAGCTGCAGTTACCGCCTCCACCTCTATTCTCTGGCTAGATGTTATGATGTTGTATGCTACATTGTCTTGTAAGACAGATGTGTTATCTAAGTAAGATAAAGATATTTTGTTTTCTCTCCTTAGTATAAAGGAAAAATGAAATGGTTGTATTTGTTATAAGTATTTGTTTTGTTATCTTGTATCTGACAGCAGTGTTTTCCTCCCTTCAGCAAATATTTGGTGTGTGTGTGTGTGTGTGTGTGTGTGTGTGAGTATGAGTGTATGAATAAATGTGTTGCAATTATTTTGGGATACAAATGTGTTACCCCTTCAGTGTGACTGAAAAACTGTGACCTGTGTGTATTATGCTGGCATGTGTGCGTGTGTGTATGTGTGTGAATTTATACCCTTTGAGCTACTTTGTAATGATAGTAATTATTTTCCTTTTCTATAAAACTGTAGAGTGAAATATGTAAGAGTAAATAATTGGTTGCAGTTAGCATGTTATAATAATGATCAACTGTAATACTATGATTGAAATGTGTATAAACAAACACTAATTGGTTGCAATTAGCATGTTATGATCAAATGCAACTGTAAAACTGAGTGAAATGTTTATGAGTATATAATAATTGGTTGCAGTTAGCATGTTATGATTAATTGCAACTGTGAAACTATGAGCTGTATGTTGATTTATTGCCATTGTACTATTGTTGATAGGGGATTAGCAAGCCAGATTCACCCTTTTGCAAATCAAGCTCACTTGTTTTTGTTTTGATTTCCTAAAATAATTTTGTGTGTATATTAATGTGTGAGCAAATCAAGCTTTTTTAAAGACAATATTTTAATGAAATCCAATTAAATTGTTGTTAAAATCAAACACTTTGCTTCAAATATTTAAATTTATTAGGAAAAAAATAAGCTAGGGTATTGGGTTCAAATTCATACGGGGTGGAATGATAAAAATAGAAATTTTTTTTCAGGGCAACCTAAGAAGTTTCATGGGAAGTAAAGGCAGACAATATGATGTTGATGCACATCAAATGGCGACTGGTCTATAGCAAATATACTACTAGCAATTGCAGGAGAATGAATTGATTATTAAAAAGTGTTTTTTTTTTTGGGTCATTATGCACATGCAACAAAATTTTCTGTTTTACCAATACCTTCAGTTGGATTTTATCCCCGTGTGGGTTCGGCCCTATTATAGGGAAAACAAGAATATACCTATTGCTACTGCATGTTGTAAGAGTCGAATAATTGGGAGCTTCCCTCGAAGTCGGAGTGCATCCGCCTGAGAGGCAAGGAACCAGCACTCTGCATACAAATCTTCTTCTTCTTCTTCTGCGTTCGATATCAGTCATGCTAAACATTGAGTCCCGTCTGGGTCACAAATAGGATTGTGCGTTTAAGGTCGCCACCGGTCCCCCATAGCTTCTCTTACAATGTGGCTCCCTTGGGACAGATCCACAGTCTTTGCTGGGAGAGGTAAGGGCAGTACTGCAGTATGTGTTCAGGGGTTTGTCTTTCTGCTCCACAATCACAGGCAGCAGATTCTTTTATGCCTATCCTGTACAAGTGTGCTCGAAGACCACAGTGTCCAGTCCGAAGTCTAAGAATTGATGTTTGTTCTTTCCTGTTGAGTTTGTTTATGCTGTCACTCTCTGGTCTGTAATCTCCATTCTGTCTTCTCCACTCCCGCTTGAAAGACTGCTTTAGCGCTGTTTTGGTTTCCTTGTAGCTGTGTGGTGGATGAGGTTGTGGAAGATTACTCCCAGCTTTTGCCAACTCATCTGCTCTCTCATTTCCTTGAATACCACAGTGGGCTGGTATCCACTGCAAGACCAGTTCTGCTTCCTTGGAGAGTAAGCCAATGTTGGTCCTTAGATCAGCAATTATTTTGTCTTATTTTTTGCTGGATAGTGCTTGGAGAACAGACAATGAGTCGCTAAGTATAACAATTTGGTGCCCTCTGTGTTCTTGAGTGATGAGATGTTGGACTGCAGAGAGGAGAGCAGTTGCCTCAGCTCTAAAGTTAGTGCAGATGTCACCTGCTGGTAGAGAGAGAGTTTCTGCTCTACTGCTAGGGGGTTTAATGTAAATTCCACAACCCCCCTTTCTGACTGCATCTGTAGCAGAGCCGTCGGTGAAAACCTGAGTCCAAGTGGTGTTTGGATACTTCTCATCAAGCAAAGCAAGAGCCAGGGTTCTCTGTTGTGTCTCCGTCTGGGCATCTTTTGAAGTGATTCCTGGTACCTTTAGGACTACATTTGCTTTCTCTGGCTTGCTTGTCCATGGTTCTGGCCTAAGTTTTTCGCACAGTGCTACATCTCTTTCAAGCAGATCTTGGTGCTGTCTGTACAGTTCTCTAGCAAGGTGGTTGGGGCTCTGACGCTTCAGTCTGTTTTTTGTTCTCTCTTGAAATTTAAAATGCAGTGGGTGACTTTGAAGTCTTTTTAATTTCTCATACTGTTGCATACAAATGAGTCAGGTCTGTAAAATGGACGCAACGCTCAGGTTCTGGAACAGGACTCGTCAAGAAGTGGGTGGACCACCAGATCTTTCCGCCAGAGTTTACAGCTGGTGAATGCGAAGAAGAAGAGAATTGGATTTTATTTTTATTGCGATATATATTGGAGGTAAGGGGGGTGGGGGGAGAGAAAAACTTGACCTGCGAATTTACAAAACGAGGGGAATTTGATTTAAAAAGAAAGGGTTATTTTGGCTTGCCATTTCGGTAGCAAAGTTTGCTTCTTTTTTAATGTTACTACAATATTTTATGTGTTTTTTCATTATGCAAAGTGCCAGTGCTGTTTTTATATTTTTTTCCCTTTAAATTATAGTTTGTTTATTCTTTTTAGTTTGACTGTTCAAATGTTAGATTATGTTTCTGCTTGGTGTCAGTACTGCTTATTCCTTGTTAAAATTGTATCTTTTTTTTTTTAAATAAATTTCATATGTATGTATGTTTGTTTTCAATTTTATTTGCCTTTAAACATTGAAGGTTTTGTTTCAACAAGAAGATGTCAGTATTCATTAACTTGTTTTGGTTATTTCTTTGTGGTTATTGTTTTATTGTAGTGTACAGTTTTATAGTTTGCAAGTGATCATAGATTAGTTATAGGTAAAGTACATATAAAGTTAAAGAGATTAGTTATAGATAAAGTACATATAAAGTTAAAGAGATTAGTTATAGATAAAGTACATATAAAGTTAAAGAGATTAGTTAAAG